AAAAAAAAAAAAAAAAAAAGTTCATTAGGACTCAAAAGCACCTCAATTTGGATAAAAGCAAACAAAGTGAGAACTGATCATTCACATAATGGAAGGCAGCTCACTTTCCATCCTGCTGGATCCATTCTGTTCTCCACACTGATATGTGAATCACTGAAGACTGAGCCACGTTGCAGCAAACTGAGCGGATAATTTAAAAGTAATCAGGATGGTTAAGCAAGAACTGAGTGCAAACAACTACAGAAAGATCCTATAAAACCAACTGATTAACCAGGCACACATATATATTTTTAAGTGTTCATCTTTTGTGCCAGGGCCCATAGCCAAAACAGAAACTAACCAAAATAGTCAAATGAGTAAATAAAGACAGGAAGAGCTCAGGTGTTCATACTATCTACAGGTAATAATAATATTTTTAAAAATTATAATTACAAATTGAAATAATGTAAGGTTTAAATTTTATTTTATACTATTTTTTTGTTCAGAAGAGTAAACAGACTCCATACAACTAGATTGGCTTGTGGCAACTGTTTCAGAATAAAGAATTTCAAGAATCCCTTGGCCTCCGATATACAACCCCCTTTTATTTAACTTCATCTAATTGAAGACATCTGTAGTGGTGCCACACAAAATTTAATTCAAGCTTCGAAATGTCAATAAAAAGTGTCTGTAAGAAACAATACTGGTATAAACCTGGCAGGGAAGCCTGCATCAACATCTACGTAGCCATACAAAATTAAGAATATAATGGCAGTCTGCTGCCTGAGTTGACGAGGTGATAAAAGCCCTTTTCCTATAAAGTCTAATGAGCTCTATTACTCTTCAGCTTTCAGGAATGTAAAGGCCAGTGGACTCAGCAGAGAAAAGCAACAAACTCTCCACACATGGATTCATTCAAGCTGCAACAGATCAAATTACTAGTGTAATTACTATAACCTGACAATTTCATTACAGTCACGCAGTCCTGAACTCCTTGAGATTAACAAGAAAGACAGTGTAAGAAATCTGCAGCAGTTTGTTTACTTGAAATGAAGCACCAGCATCTCTTCTAAACTTGTAACTCAGATTGTCATCAAATATCAGTTCAGCACATTATTTATTCTTTTCTTTCATAGAAATAATCAAGAGCAGAAAAGACAATGCATTTTCTGATACTGTCTCTTAATGCAGGAATATGAAATTCAGTGGTAGCTGATTATCCAGGTTACCATCCAGCAAAGCAGCCTGGACACTCCTCTGAAAACACAGTGCTGTCTTCCTCTCCAGCCCATGATGATACGAACACTCTGACAGCCATCTATGTCCACCCATATGGCCATCTGTGTGACACCCACCTGTGTCCAGCTCTGGGGCCCCCAAAGTAAGAAGGACATGGAGCTGTTGGGAGGGAGTCCAGAGGAGGCCATGAAGCTGATGAGAGGGCTGGAGCAGCTCTGCTCTGGAGACAGGCTAAGAGAGTTGGGGTGTTCAGCTTGGAGAGGAGAAGGCTCCAGGGAGACCTTAGAGCACCTTCCAGTGCCTGAAGGGGCTCCAGGAAAGCTGGGGGAGGGGCTTTCACCAGAGAAGGCAGTGATAGGACATGGGGTAATAGTTTTATACTGAAAGAGGGGAGATTTAGGTTAAACATCGGGAAGAAATTCTTCACTGTGAGGGTGGTGAGGCACTGGAACTGGCTGCCCAGAGAAGCTGTGGTTGCCCCCTCCCTGGCAGTGTTGAAGGGCAGGTTGGATGGGGCTTGGAGCAACCTGGGCTGGTGGGAGGTGTCCCTGCCCATGCAGGGGGTTGGAACTAGATGATCTTTAAGGTCCCTTCCAACCCAAACCATTTGATGATTCTGTTTTATAGTTCTATACCATAATGGTTTGCTCTCTACAGAGAGTGGAGAGGGAGAACACACTCATTTCAAAACTTGCATCTAGAAGGAATACATACCTCCAGAGGAGAATCACAGAGGAATCGTGTGAACTGCATCAAGGCAGGTTCATCAGAAACGTGTGCCCAATAAGACAGTCCAAATGTGCAAAGCAGAAAAAGAAAAAAAACATTAGCAGTACTTCAGGACACATTAACAGCCAAATACCCTCTTTCCAAACCATATATTTGCAAAACACCATCAGATTTTCAAGTTAAAATAAAATCTCCATAAACAAACTCCCATATTCTACTTCATTTAGAACTGATAAGAGATATAATAATTAACTACCAAAAGAATTTCCTCTCTATAAAAGTCTTTTCCCATTGTCCCACTGGTACCTGCCCCATCACTACAGCAAGAGAGTTAGGACCCTCATATCTCTTAATATAAATTAATTAAGTCTATTTACATTCAAAATCATAAGCAAGCTCATTTTAAGGATAAAGAAGAGGAAAAAAAAAAATCAACTTCCTGAAAGTGCAAGCATTTTCAAACCTAAATTCTTTACTCAATACAAAACAATGTTCTGCAGATAATCAACCCAAAAGGCAAGGTTTTAATGTTCTGGAGCTTGTTAAAGATTCTAAGAGCAATAAAATGTAATAGTTATTTATTTACCATCATTTACGTATTTGATACAAATATTTCCTTATGGGTGGATTCTACATTCAACATGTTATGAAGTTCTGGTATGTGTTTAACCCTGAAACAACCCTTTGCTAAAAACCTAGGACATGTTACATGGTTTCATTCCCCATTTTGTAATAGCTGGATCATTGCATAAGCCAACAGTTCCCCAACTGCAAAGTAATAGCAAACAGGGACTTTGATTAAAAGTTTGATAAAAAGAATATATATCTACAAAAAACTGATTGGTAAGATTTTGTTGTAAAGAATTCTACGAATTTCTGAGATTAAAGAAGATTATTCAATTTAAAGAACACAAAAAATGTGTTAATTACTTGTTAGTTATCCCATTTTTTTCCCAGGAAAGGGGAAGAAGGCAGGCAGCAACAAAAAGTGCCAATATTTTAAATTGCTGACTTAGGATGGAATTCCATATACAGGCAAAGTAATTAGAACTTCCTCTTTTCTATAGAAGGTGCAGATTTTAGAAATAAAAACACAACCTCTCATACATTGATATATATATAGATATCAATCTGCAAACATTAACTAGACTATTCTCAGTGTAACTCAACGTGAACACAACTGTAACCTCCAAGACTACATCTCTAAGAAAGTGCATCTGTTGATGCTAAAAGAATCATGACTTTGCAGAAGCCATATTTCAGATTTTTCCCTCTCAAACCACAGCAGCAGCTGATTTATGGATTCATGGTAGACCTTTGCACACTGAATTTCTATAAGGTGCTGGTGAAGACAGAGGACTGTGCATTTCCTGTAATCAGCTACTTCAGACCCAGCCACTACCACTCTAAATTACAATGTTTTTGGTTTTTTTTTCCAAACAACACAAATTACTGTGATATCTTGGTAACATTCTAGATTATTTTTTTGTTAGGAAGAGAGAAGAGAGGAAAAAAAAGCAGAAAATACTTAGAAGAAGAAAAAAAAAGTCATTTGAAATTTGAATTATTGAGTGATGATCCCATAAAAAAAGAACAGAGTTACAAATTCCTACACTGCAAGTGTCCTTACAGCCAGTGATTTCAGAGTGCAGGCTTCAGAAAAAATAAACCATGTGTTATTAATTTGCATGTAAGAAGACCCCCAATAGCTCTTGATTTGTAACTTTAGCTTTATAGTGCAAGCTAAATCCTATGGGTGAGAAAATTGAACCAACACCACTTTTCAAATAGTTTTGTCAATTCTTCAGGCCCTGCTGTACAATCCCTTGGCTTTGAGGGTGAGGGAAGACTTTTTAAGTGTACCTAAGCAAAAGTTCTGCTTGCTAGGGAGCATATAATGTTACATCTATCTATACTGTTGGCTAGGAAAAAAAATTTTAACTGCCCTTGCATTTCCATCACAATGTTACAGGGAAAAAAAACATTGCAAGTCTTCTTACATGTTACTTCACCTGTTGATACTTGCTAAAGTTCTCATGTTAAACAATTTTCTGAAGTCCTAGAAAATTTCAGAGGACTGTAAATCTTCTCTAGAAGTCAATTCAGAAGCAATTACCCTAAAACTTGACAATTTTTGGTTGTGGGTTTGTTAAGAAATAATTTAATTGACACAAAAAGCTGGAGAATTTAATAAATATTTCAGATGGAGTGACCCCTGCTGTTACCTTCTCAACCCTTACTCTCCTCTCCTACCCACAAATCCACATCACTTTTATCATAAGCTAGGAATACACCCAGTCCACACATTTAAACTGAAGTAAACTTAAGATTCAGTTTCTAAATTAGCAAACTCATTTAATACTGCAATACTTTTATGAACACAATTCAAAAATCATTCAATAAATTACAAAAGTAATACAGTCAAAAACTATGTTGCATGTAAAATAACTCATTGTCACACAAGCACAATTAATATTCCTTTCACAAAACCATGCTTTTCTAATTTTAATTGTAAACTGAATTACTTACACTTCAGTCTTTTAAAAACTCTATTATATATATATGAAATCCACAACATTTTTACTTTGGTGCAAACTAAAGAACCAAGAGAACAATGGGAAATAAGTTTAAACACAGTTAATAAAAAAAAAAGAATGAAACACATTGCTGAGAATTAAATCAAAGGGGAGGGAGGGAATGCAGAAAAACAAAAAAGTTTTGGTTCAACCCAAAGCCACTTGCTTGAATAAAAGCACATGAACAGCTTTAAAACATGGTAATAAAACTAGAGTGTTAACACCTGCTTCCTTTGATAGGTGGGGGAAGATACTCAGATGCTCTGGATGCTAAGTCTGAACACGTCTCACCTGGAGCTCAGTAACTTTCTTTACAAGAAAGGATAGTGCCAGGCTATCCTGCCACCCTTGAAGTGGGCAATATGCTATAGCTGATTTGGCAAAGGAATCTAAGACTTACTTTGGGGCTGACTCTATTTAGCATTTTCAGCAGTCACCAAAATACTGGAATGCAAACAAAATACAGTTTGAGAGATATCCACAGACCTGAAGGTGAAGAAAGAGCCTTCAAACCATAGTACATGCAGAAAGAGAGGATTTACAGTTTAAATGCATGTCTCAAATGTAGTTTTCAATGTAAGGATGGGACTAATGAAATTGAAGTAACTGCTGAATGTATGGACAGAACATACATCTCAGAATCACAATTTCAGTTCCCTCACGGAGTGATGAAAGTCACTGTGACTTTAACATCTCAGAACAAACTCTCAAAATAAGAGAGATCTGTCAGCCTTACAGTAAAGATAATTTTATATGGATTTACATAGAAAACTCAGTGTCAAAATCAGGAAGAATGATGTAAATGGTGGTACAAAAGAATCTGAACTGAAATGATGACTACAGACAAGTCACTTGTCAGGATGCCTAAATCCTTGGGCTCTTACAGGCATTTTGGGAATAAAACCCATAAATGGCACTACAGACACGAGGGCCACAGAAGTGACCAGAAGGAATCGGGCAGACCCAGAAGTACTACTTGGAAGTCTTGAAGTCAGAGTTATCAGGGATCTGAAACACAAACTGGTTGCAGGGCAACCCTCTGCTGCAGCAGCTGTGACAAGCCCACCTCGGATTAGCTGATAAAATACCTAAATCAAGAGCTCTGTAGGGTTATTTGGCAAGCTACAGAAGGTTAAAAATAACCACCAAAGGTATTTATTTTTTAAGTATTCTCTCACTAGAAGATAAAAAAAAAAAAGCAAAACTAGGTAAGAGACACCTAAAAGTTTTCAACTGGCCACTGATGGCAGCTTTCAAATTGATTGCAATGTTCTCCTTGCTCTTTGGCATTTCTCAGGCTATTTACTCAGTTTTCTATATTAGTTCAAGTGGATTTCTGGGAGGCAATTACAAAAAAAACACCACCTCAAAACCACCACACTAAAAACCCAAAAAACAGGGAAAGAAAAAACTCACCGTACTTATTTCAGTAATTTTTTGCACCTTTTCAAACAGTGTATCTTTTGTGTGTTGTGAAATTCTTTTCTCCCAAGGCAAATATTTAGTTAAGCACAAAGCAAAGAGAGTGTCCAGCTAGCTCTGCAAGAGGGAACTGAGACTGTTTTCCTACAAGTTTGTCATTACAAAACACTCATGAAAAGTTCAATAAAACATTTGCTTCAGAAGGTCTAAACAGCAATTAACTGTTCACTCTGGCTCTTTTCTGGAAACTACTGTAGAATTTTTATGATCTTTTATGGAAATGTTTTCTAACTTGTGTAGCTGCCACAGAGCTTGTTTCAGTTGCACTTCAGCCTTGTTTCTTAAAGACAAAGACTACTGTAAAAAGACTGGAAGCCTAAAAATCACATGAATGGTCTAGGTGTACTGCATCTGTTTTAAACCACCCAGATCAATCATCACGTTCTCTAGAGAAGCAGCAGTTTTCAATTTTTACATGACAATCTGTTCTATGCAAAACTCAGTTTGGAATGAAAGGCACTGATGGTTTTTTTTTTAGCATATGAACTGAATGCACCTAAAGAACTAAACCAGCTGAGAGCTTTTAGATAAGGGAGTGTGTGCACGTGTGCAAAATATGCTGACAGCTTCTGTAATTGTCTTCAAGAAACATTTTTTAAGAAGACAACATTGGGTCAGAAATGCAATGCCTCTGGTGAGATGACACTTCATTAAGAACTACTGCTAGAGATACCCCTATCTGATCCAAATAAGCCACTGATCACATCACTGGGATCAAAAAAATCTCCTTTTGGAAGGTGCCAAGAAGAAATCTTTTCACTGTATTGATTTCATTTCAAATCTCTGCCTCCAGAGCTGCACAGTCCCACTTCTTCATCTATCATTTAAATACCAAGAAATAAATTTTGACACCTCATAGAAAACACAAAAGCTATGCAGGTGGCAAGAAGTTCTCACCAACTTCAAGAAATATTTCCATATACTCAGTTAATCACCCTGAAGCTGGGGTAGAGTTGGATC